GAGAAGAAAATTTTTCGGTCTCTACCCGGATTCGAACCCGGGACCTTTGAATGATAGGCTAACACCTTAACCTCTAGGCCACGAGAGCCCCCTCTTAAATCTTATGCTCCAAACCTGCCCAACCTTAATCAAGCAAAGAGCCCTAAAACTCCGCAGGACCCAAGAGGCCAAGCCTTAATCGCGTTATACTGGAAAGTGTTTACATTGTTTTTAAATATCAATAAGAAGAAAGAAAGAAGTAGAAGACTGAATTTTAATCTGTTATTAAGAGTTCCTTTTTACTATTTTCCTCTCTCATCCACCTCAAAATCTGTTTCTTATCCAATTTATAAACCACAGGACAAGTTGAATCAATAATCCACAGAAAACAGCAGTCCATGGACTCACCTGTTACCGGCGTCTGTGGCGTAGCAGTTTGGCGCTTTGACGTCGCATGTGGAAGACACAAGTTCGATTCCTGTGTGGGTCTTTCTGTTGGTATATTGTGCCCTTCCGATCATCCCGGGTTGGCTTTGACCGGCAGGGTCAAAGCCCACCTTCTAAATTATTATCTAAATTGTGTCACTTGGGGGGGGGGGGGGGGGGGGGGCGTAAATACATCAGCAGCAAAAAAAAGTCATCTGTCGGCTTTGAAGGCACAGTTGGTCATTAGGCCTTTTGAATGGCATCTCGGAACTTGAGGTTCGAACTTGAAATCTTCTCATTTATTTTTCTTTTCTTTTCCCATACCTCCACCAACCCAAACTTTTAAGCTCTCATTGTCTCAATCAGAGAACATTTTTTTTCTTCTTCTTTTTTTTAATTTTACAGGATTTCAACCTTTTTTCCTCATTTCCTCAATCTGTTCCTCTTTTTTTTTTCCCACATGATCTAAAAATTTTTCCTCATTTTCTCAATCTTCCTGAAATATTTACTCTCAGTCCTAGAGACCTGCTGTGGAAAAGGTGTCAAGATTTTAAAATGGCTCATTTTGTACCTAGGATGTTTAGTTTAAAAACAAAACTCAAGTTAGAATTTTACAATGCTTGCAACAAAAACAGGTCCTATAAGTGTCTATGATTTGAAGTGTTACAAGTTACAAGAGAGTAACATACAAAGAAAAGGATGAGAGGTACGGATGGTAGATGTCTGAAAGGAAAGAAGAAGTAAACCACATCATAGAACCCACCAACCACCCATGTAAGACATTAACACTGTGGTATAATCAATTAGCCAACCTGGCATTGTATTAGATATCTACAATGATGTCTGTTTTTCTGTTTGATCTAATTCTTTGTTTTATTCCTTTAATTTCTTAAAGCATAAAGACTCTGCGGAGTCTATCCTCTCTCAAAAATTTAATGTTATGAGTGTCTTCTGTTCCAAACTCAAGAAAGAGAGATGTGGTATAATCAATTAGCCAACCTGGCATTGTACTAGACATCTACAACCGGTTGTACTACTCGAATAAATCTAGCTGGGAGTTGGCCTGCTGAACACAATGATGGCTGCAAGTTTAAATCTGTTCCTTAGTACAGACTGTTCTTTGTAACTTATTGTCAGTGAAGTTACCCCAAGTGGCCGAAGTAGCCCCGGCTGACAGTAGACAAAACACCACAAACACCATTCACAAAAATCAAACTCAAAACAGAGATGCAGAAGTAAGCTAAATTAGTAAAACACACAACTTTGAGGGGGCACAGGGGAAATGAAACACAAAATCGACAACGTTTAATAAGAACATAATTTTAATAACATTTTGTACACAAAAATAAAGACATTTTCAACCAATCTATGGCTATTATTCTTTTTACTCTCAAGTGCAAGCATAAGTCACAACAAAACTGAGCAAACTCTTCTATGTACAGGGATGCCAAAAGATTTTTGGAAAAAATCCTGAAAATGAGCGGAGCGTCACATCTCACCTAAAACGCACTTTGTAAAATCTTTAAATGAGCAAACAAAATCATTTCTCTTACCATTCCCCTTTCCTTTGCAAGTGTATTTAAAAAACTGAAAAAGCCGGAAAAACCGGAGGTTTGGCATCCCTGTATGTACATTAATCTGCTGCATCAGTGGTGTGGATATTGGGAAAAGGAAAGCTATCAATTGACCCCTAGGCTGTAAAAGAGCATAATGCCATTGTTTATGCGATGCAGGTCAGTAATTTTGAAGTATGTGTGTGAGCATGTGCACCGCCGGTGTGTGTACAATGTGTGTTGGGTACACTTGGTATGTGGTGGTGAATGCCTAACAGTAATATTCGCCAGTTGTGAGGTGTATGTGAACACTTATTTATTTTTATTTTTTTGCATAATATACTGCAAATGTCCACTTTCAACTTCCCATGAGGAATACAAAAGTATATCCCCTGCCATGATAAATTTAATTCAAACATTTGAAAAACATCTTTACTTCCACTAATGTAATACCCATGAGGAGCTGGATAAATAACAATCACAAGAACAACAAAATGAAAACAATTTGATCTTGGAGGAAATACAAAAAGCATTGCATTGACATGCCATCATACCTAACAAAGTGATCTTTCAAGTTTATGGTGTAAAGTTGGTTCATAATAATAACTTTGACAGCAAACAGGTGATGGAGTTAGGAAGGGCATATGAACACAAAAATAACCCGGTCATTTAGTGCAGGCAAAAACTAAAATAAAAAGACAAAACAACAAAGGATAGAAAAAGAAAAGAAGTATGACCTATCAGGGGTGCTGCTCAACCACCTGCAAAATAAAACTCTTCTTCAGTTTCGTGTTTTCTGCCCCTTGGTTCCAAAAAGATATTTCTTTGTGAATTATTGACAAGCCATAACAAACTACATGTAACCAATGAATAGATAAAGGTCATCGCTGGAAAGAACATTAAAATCTGTATGGTATAGCCCAGAATTCGTATTATCCTGTCTATTAGAAAAAAAAAAAGGACAAATCAGCTGCTCATTGTCAGACTCCGCCGTACGTCATACTGAGACAAGTGGCTAGACCTTAAAAATATTGACATTATTCCAGGCAAGAAATTGTAATTTAGATGAAACTTGAGGTGTGGAGAAACCAATTGAAACAATTCTCATTGTAAATATCAATACAGTTCCTGAGACAATGTTTTGTAATGCCTACCCTAATAACATTCACGCCCCCCCCCCCCCCTTCCCCCACACACCAAAAGAAACAAACAACAACCAAAAACACCCCCCCCCCCCCCCAAAACCAATAGCAAACAAACAAAAAAAACCAACAGACACATAAAAATGCACTGATATTACCACATGAACTTGTAAAAAAAAAAGCAAAGAGATAAAAACCTGAGTAAAATGCAAAATAGAAATTACTGCTCGTCATCCCAGGTCACAGCCATATCATTGCAAGGACAATTTTTCTTTTTAAGTGCTGGTGGTTTTTTTTACACCCCATTCAACACAATTTAGATCATTTAAAAGGTGGGTTTCTGACCCTGCCGGTCAGGGCCAACTAGGGCTGAAAGGGATACAACATCCAACAAAAAGACCGAGATACTCAATGAAAATAATCTTCCCTCTTGGGAACTGAACTTGGGTCTGTTGCATGTGACAGCAAAGCAACAAACTGCTGCAACGCAGACACCAGTTTGCAGGGACAGAGACTTAACGTACAAATAAACCAATTAAGACGAAAGAGTCTACCATGACACACCAAATAACTTGTTCTTGCTAAATCTTATAACCACAGCACATCTTATATTTACATGACTGTCAAACACATCAGTACATTATGTAAGCAAATTCATACTCACAACCCCATTTCTCAAACATTGGTCAGCTTTCTGTTTTGAGGTATGGATGATTAGAATATGCAAAACAGATCATATAAGTGCTGAAGATTAGACGTGTTACTAGATAGTAACATACAAAGAAAAGGAGGAGGAGAGACAAGGATGAGAGACGTTTGATGGGAAACAAGGAACAAACCATACCAGAGCACCCGTCATCCACCCATGTAGTTGAAATTATATAAAAAGTATATAATAAGTATTATATGTTTGTCACCCGTCAGAATAAGAGAAAAGAAAACTGAAAATAACAGAAGATCAATTTTTAACATTTTTTGAAGTCAGTATTTTTACATAGACAACATTTTCCTCCCGTTTCAGGAGTAAACAGCCAATACACATTCTCTTATTTTTACTCAGCAGCATAATGTTCTGATTTGTTACAAAAAATATTCGCCACATATTCCAAAAGGGGACAAATCCAAAATGTCTTTCATGAGTCAGCATCATCACCTCCAAGTAGCTTATGACTTCATTGTAGTTTCTGAATCATAGTTTAACATCAAATATTGTTTTTTTCACAGACACAAGAAACTATAATATACACTAACATTACAAACAAATCATAAATAAAAGTCAAAATCTTTGGTAATACAGTGGAGTCCACTTATAACGAGTCCTGAAACAACGAGAAGTCTGTTATAAAGACACTATTGTAAAACCCCGTTTTTTCTCCTTCTTTATCTTTGTAAATAAAATACTGCTATTGCGCAATCAGATCGTCACGCGAGTCGGTTATAACGGAATATTGCTGCTGCTGTGCACAGCGCACAGACCAATTAAACATGTTATAAAACCTTGCCAGTTGAGAAAGTTGTTGGTGATCCAGCGAAACAAAGAATGGGAGAGCCCACGCGAACCAACAATGAAGGCCGAAGCGAATGAATGGGGAGGGTGTGGCATGCGCAGACAAGCAGAACGCATCGCGTGATAGGCCAGCCAAGTCTACATTATCTAGGCATACCGTGCCTCTCACTTCTCTGGTGCGGGATGGAGTGTTCACAATGCTGTGATAGATGGATGGAGTGAATGTGTGACGTGCGCAAGCAGACGCAACGCACCACAGGGTGTGGTGGGGTAGGGGACAACACAGCGGGCGAGTTAACCTAGAGCCAGAGCCCCTTCTTTCTGATCACCAAGGCCAATTTGTCAACATTGCTAGTGCTAGAGAAAGAAACCTGTTTCGATTTTTTTATCAAGTAAGACCTAGAAATCATGTTGAACAAATCATCATCAGGAGAAATACAAAAAGGAATAAACAGAACGCCAAACTCAAAGATTAGGCCTAGTTTACTACTTCCCTTGAATTTATTACTGGATCCCTTGTAACGAGAATCCTGCTATAACGGACATTTCGCACCGGTCCCCTCCCTCTCGCTATAACAGGATTCCACTGTATCAACTTTTGCACGTCACAAACATTTATCATTTATCAGGGAAAGAATAGACATTCCTGAGAGGAAGCTTAGGGACAGAAAATTCTCAAAGAGCTAATTTAAAGGTTAATTTCCAGGTCTGTTCCAAGTGACATGTGCCTCCGTTTGACAGGTAGGAAAAAAATACCGATTTCCACATTCGGCAACCAATCCTCTTGGAAGTGAATAAATGCTCAGAAGACAACTATAGAAATTATTCTATGCCAACAAACTGTTTTCTTCTGTCAACTTTCATATTACTGTACAAATACTTTGGTTTTCTTGCCTTGCAAAATCCTTTTAAGTCCTTCAGGCAATAATTGTGGTAACAGCCTTCTAAAAGCCAAACCTAGGGTGTCAGATAATCACAAATAATTGTCAAAAACAAAACACAGTTTAAACACATAAACCTTCGTCCTACTGGAAATGGCACAAATATACACTTATAAGTACAAAGTCACAGCTGCCACAATTGTATTGAATTCGGTAATGAAGTTCTAGGTCACCTAAATTCTGCTTTGAGCTTCCAAAAGCCACTTTGGAAATCACAGACTTGATTCAACATGGCCTTGAACTTCGGTGCATCTGTCTTCGGTAACCGCTGGCCAAAGTTGAGAACGATCTCCTGTGTGGAAGCTTCACCATCCTTAACTGCCATGAATGCCACGTAATTACGAATGTCTTCCAGGAGTTCTGAGTCTTTAGGGTCAAGAGTCTCATGCCGATCTGGCCGCAAGAAATCATCGTCGTCATCGACTGCAGTTGCAGATATGCGTTTACGAGCTTGCATACGAGACAAAAGGTCACTGGAGGTAAGAGAACCATTTTTGGCGCCGAGAGAAATATTGCCGGAGACAGTCCCGTCAAAGAGTTTCTCCTTCTCTTCTTTCTCCTTCGGTTTCTTTCCACTTTGTGACTGCAGAAAGAAAAACAAAAACAAGCAGAAAATCATTTCAATATTCCATGTCAATCCTGACTAAGAACAAAATCTACATTTGCTTTGCTCTTTAATAATATAACATGAGCAATTTAATGAAGAAATTAACTGTTAAATAAAATTATAATATTGATGAGTAAGCGTATTTTGTTCATTCAGTCTTAGCTGAATAGTGAATTGCATTGATCATTCACCTGGTGAAATGGTCTACATGATGATAACCACTGTCATTAGTATATTAACCATCAATATCTATAAGTGTATCTTTGGGTATGTTTGGCACAAGCTGTGATTTTAGAAATCTCTAAGAACATTTTCCTAGTGTTCTCCCTTACTTAGAGTACTTCTAACTGAGCTGACAAGAATGAGAAGTTGAGAGTATTTTCAATTTAGTGAATCCACAGAATTACTTCTACTAAAGTTCTCACCTCACTGGTTGGTGATTTCCGAACCCCTGACGAACCATCCCCTTTGTCGGACTTGTTCACCAGCAAACTGTTCTTTTTCTGCCCAAAGCGAGGCCTGAAATAACAGACAGTGAAGTGGAGATGTAAGGAAGACATACAAATAAGAATACAGTCTGCCCTGTCCAAGAACCCGTCCATCGGGTATCGAGGGAAAAAGTGGTAATCTAAGACACGTGGTCCTCTGAGGCAGTGTATTTATAATAACAGAAAAAATGCAAGGTGAGGGGAGTAGGAAGTGGTCATTTGTACAGGTGACTGTACTAGACAAGTGGTTGTTAGAGCAGGTTTATTAAACGAATCCTCGTTATCATCACGAATGTCTAATTAACTTAAATTGAGTGTTGGGATGAAAAACAATTAACATTATCACCACTATAAATAAAGCACAGCATGAAAGACAGACAGACAGACAGACAGACAGAGACACAGATGCACATGCACGGAGTAACATGCACACAAAAATTAGCACATAGACACAATTACATACAGATACTCATACAAAAGACCCCTTCTTTACTTCACAAGCTCCATGTTACCCTGTCAAGGTGGGTAGGCCAGCATATACACACACACACACACACACACACACACGCATGAAAAAGCCCACACACACACACACACACAAAAACACACACACACACATGAAAACACACACATACACACATACACAAACACGGGCACAGAAACACATACAAAATTCACAATTAAAATTTGTAATCTGACACCCTCCTTCTCTCTCCTTTCATTATCAGAGAAAATCTGGAACATTTACATCCTCGTACAAAACCACAAACACACACAAACAAGACCTACTTGGAAACAGTAGCTCCGTGCTGCCCTGTCCACGTGGGCAGGCCAGATATGGCCGAGGCACACTGCTGTCGCGACCGCCTTAATGCCGCCACAGCCTCCCGGGCCACCTTGGCTGCCTCCGCCTCCACTATGGCATAGTCTGGTCTCCCACTGTCCATGATTTTGTCGTGCTTCATGGCACCTTGGATTCCTACATCGCACAGATATGAAAACAAAAATAATTAGGAGAAACAAAAAAAACCATTAAAGAAATCATCAGCTAGAAGAAAGAAACAGAAGAAAAGATGTTATGAAATAAGAAAAGGCAAACCAGAAAAAGATGTCACAAATTAAGAGAGAGCAAAACAGCAAAAGATACCATACATTAGGAAGAAGCAAAACAATTAGAAATTTCAAGAACCAATAGAAAGGAATCCAGTATAAGGTTTTATACAGCAGGAAAAAAGAAAAAGAAAAGATATTTACAAGGAGAAAGCAAAACCCTAAGCTATATGCACTTTACAATCTATATGATTACCCCAGCAGCAAAAACATACTCAGCTGACTGAGAAACATACAGTGCAAGTAGCTGATCAAGTGCTCCAAAGCTAACAAACTGACAAGATCTTTTGCTGTCTATATTGGCTTCAAAGGATAATTTACTGTTCTCTCTCTCTCTCTCTCTCTCTCTCTCTCTCTCTCTTATACAAAGTACATCGGGCTTTGGCGCATAACTTCACAACAGAGATCAACCAACCTGTTTTCTTGAACAGCTCCCGTAAAACAAAATCATCATGATGTTGGTCTTCTTTTTCTTCCTCAACACTTCGTCCTTCTTTCTCTTCTGAATGGTCTTCTGATGAATTCTTGGACGGCAGAGGGCAGTGCTTCACAAGGTTGGGGATACGCTCACCTTCAAAACCTGCATTTGTAAAGGTACAGTAAAATAAGGTAAATATCAGAGTTCAAATTAAAGAACACATTCCAACAAGAAAACCAAAGCCCATTTTAAGATACTTTAAGATAATTTTTATCTTGATTCTGATTCCCCCCCCTCCCCAAATAAAAACAGAACCAAAAAAAAAAAATTAAAATAGAACAAATCCCCCAACCAAACCCCCCCCCCAAGTCACTTTGTTATGCTCTAAAGCAAACGTTCACTATTTACAATAGTCTCTAATTTTCACTTATGTCATGTAGTGTATCATGCTTCCACAACTTCAAGTACAGGAACACTGTAACTGTTCGAAATGGTGAGACTTCTTCCAACCACTTCAAGGATATACAGACTACGTACTAAACAAAAAAGGTAATTATAAAACTAAACAAGAAACAAAACTGGGCAGCAAAATAAAACTATCATAATAAAAATGCTGTTGTGACAGAAACCTAATGCACAAGAGTCAAATTCATCTAAGTCCAGACCATACAGTAGCATTTAACACAACCTTCCTACAATACTCGAACCAGAAAAAACAAACAAATAATGTACCAGCTACTATATTAATCTTCAGTCTAACAGAGTGACTTACGTGCATTCCTGTGCTTTCTCTTCCTCTTCTCTCTTTTACTGTCTTTGTTCCCCTGGTCATCCTCACTGGAACCTCTCCCATGTCTGCCATTCTTTCTTCTGTGTCGAGACTCTTTCTCCGCACTTGTTTGGGAAAGCTGCTCTTTTGAATGTTCAGACCTATTATTTTTCCTGTCCTCTACCCCATCTTTCTCTTCTGAGGAACTCTTCCTTTTCTTCCGGAGCGGAATGCTCCACAGTTTGCCATTCCGATGCCATTTCTGTGGCTGTGTTTTGTCTGAAGTCAAGCTGGCATCCGTAACTAAATCACTGGTGGCTGAGTGGCCTTCTTCACCATTTATGTTTGAGCACCCGTAAGCATGGTCTGCAGATGTGTCCTCCTCTTTTACTGCTTGGAATTTGATCTCAGTCCCCTGCACTTCTTCACTTTCATGTTTCACTGATACCTCATCAGGTCTTACTTCCTCTGTTTCTTCTTCATCTCTTTCCTTCTTCACCTCAACAGGAGGAGACACTTTTTCCCTGTCTTGTTTGCTCTTCTTTTCCATCTCCATCTTTTGGCTGAGCTTCCTAGCAAATTCTTTCATACGGTCAAGTTCTTCCTCACCAAGTCCCATATTGTCCTCGTCCTCATCCTTATTATGATTTCTCTCACTTTCTCGTGTGCCTGCTAATTGTTCCTCCACAACTGTTTCTCTCTCATCCTTCTCCTCTTGTTCTTTTATCTTCTTCTCACGCATCTCGTCAAACCTGTTTGTTGCTTTCAGCCTTTTAGGCACCTTCACGTCAGAGCCAGTGCCAGCAAAAAGAGCGCTGGTCTCTGTTCCCTCTTCGTTGTCTTTGCTGCCCAGTGTGAACAGCTCATAGACATCCTGAGATTTGAACAGGCGTCTCTGCTTCGGGTCTTTCAGGACTCGGTTGGTCAAAAACTGCTTGAAAATTTGTCTGAGAAAGAAGGAAAGGGAAATAATTCACCTGGTTGTACTTAACAGCCACCGAACAGAATAACAGCAACACTTTCCAAAGCACAGGACCCCCCCCCCCCCCCAGCACTGAAAAGATATTTCCGAATGAACAGATAACACAAAACCACCCATCAACCATCCTCATTGATCCCATTGGCCAATTTTCATCCAATTATTATGATGATTTTTTGGACTCAACATCTGATATGTTCATTTAAGACAACATTTCTCGGTAATTTTTTGCTGAAAGGACACTCAAGTCTTGAAAGACACCAAACTTTGGCACACATTTTCTCGTTAATTTTACCTCTGACAATAAGTGACACCCCCCCCCCCCCCCTTTAGTCACATATATCTTGACTTCTAATTAGGTGGGAATTTTTTCATCAAAAGCAAGAAAAATAAACAAGCTTTCATATGATACCAATAAGTTCATGTGCCCCAAAATTGATTCCACCACGTCCTGGCACACTGAAGCTCTATTCCTATCCCCTGTCACCCATCTGTTCAAATTCTTTGACAAAAAAAAATAACTTTTGGTCTACCTCTGTCTCTTTTGCCTTCTATTAGTCCAGAAAGAGCAAAATGTTCATAAAACTTTCATCGCTTCCGGAGGCCTCATAACTGTATATCGACGACTCAGTGTAAAACTCAGTCCTACGTCATTTTTCAAAATGGCGTACGGCGGCGTCATACACGAAGCAGTCGATTTGTCCCCAGTTTAAAGTTTTTATTAGTGACCGTCCCACGAGCACCACTTACCTGTGGTAAATCTTCTCCTCTATAGTGCCAGACGTTAGCAGGCGGTAAATGGTCACCTGTCGCTTCTGACCAATGCGCCAGGCCCGCTCTCGAGCTTGTATGTCTGTGCTAGGGTTCCAGTCTGGGTCGTAGATGATGACACGGTCAGCACCGGTCAGGTTGACCCCCAGTCCACCCACACGGGTCGTCAACAGGAACATGTAGATGGACGTGTCCTAGATTAGAAAAGACCGTCAAAATTAAAAATAATGAACGAAATTTATTAAGTGCATTGTGTTATAAGAACAAGACTACTCTATAACTACCATCATAAAACTGTCTTTACAATATCTTGAATAGCAGTTTCTTTGGGGATGTTACAAATCATCCAAGTCAAAACAAGACACTCAGTAAAGGTTACCTAAATCCCTGAACATTTCCGTTTAGTCAAACACAAAAGCAGCAGCAGCTAGAATGGTAGTATTCCCAAAACATACCCATCAGATTCCTTCTGACAAACACATTGCTAGCTTTTTCTATGGGTACATTCTCTGGAGACATCATAATCATTATTATCAATGGCTTTCTCATCCTGCATCAGGGTATAGGCCATGAACAAACACTTTCCACTTTTCCTTATCCTGGGCTAGCTTTTTGATATTCCCTGTCTTCCCACCTTTCTTTACAACATTTTCTGTGACTCTTCTCCAGGTTCCACATGCCTTCCCCTCATTCTCAGGAGTACCAGTGATAATTTCAAAGTTAGCTGTTATGGGAAAGCAACCATGCTCACTATTAATAACTGCAATAGGTTAAACAAAATACACAAATACCAGATGTTCTTTATTTTCGGAAACATTAAACGGTTTACAATGCTAATGCTAGTCTCAGAGCACAACGCCAGATCTCACAGAGTCAAAACTGTGACATGAGGAACTGACACAGGCATAGATGCATTATAAAATTGATTTGAGTTTATCAAAAAAGTTTTTGATAATACTGAAATAAAGAAGTCAAAGAATTTTGTCTGTATGTATTGTTTTTAATCCATTTTTCTTAAACTATTTAAAAATATTATTTCTATACATCATATTACATACCTGTGACTGCCTATATCCCTGTATTCATGTGCCTATACACTGAATACATATTTATGTCATTTTTAGGTGCCTCTGTACTTTAATGCTGTATATATTCTCATGCCATTGTAGACTATAAACATGTTTTGTAAACCCCATCTTGGACAAATTTGACTGTATGTGCAACACCGACACAGTAACTGAACATGAGAATAGTATATATATAAAGTAATCCGATTGGATATTATACGTAAATACATCAGATCAGGTCTGTACTCACATTGTTGTATTGTGATATGAGGGGTTGCCGGGCAGAGATGGACGTCCCTCCATCCATAGTCAAGTAGCTGTAGCCTTGATCCTGAACAAACTTCTCCAGGATGTCAAGCATCTGAGAGAAGGTAAACCACAGATTGTTGTAGATTACTCGACTGTCTCTTTGAATTTGAATCAGTTTTAATTAAAGCTTTCCAAAATCAGAGTAGGATTTGAAATGAGTAAGAGTATTTCTGCAAATCATTCAATCTCCTGTTTGGCAGGATAAGGAAGGTATAACAACTCTTTAACACCCATAACTCAGAGACACCCTTGCAGACATTTGGATCTCTTTCATTTGGATCCTGCAAAATAGTCTTGGGCCATGTCTTGTCATAGGTTTGAATTTTACTGACTAAAGTTTCAACATACACCACATTACTAGCAACAACTTAATGGAGCAAGCGTCATTAACAGTCTTTCCTCCGTTTCCTGTCTTGTTCTGAGAAATACTCCTACAGTTGAATGCATTTCCCTTTGAAAAGTCAGGTAGCTTCACTACTTCATAGGGACAGCTGCAATCTTCTGTTGAATCAGTTACTTATGTCCAGTAGAGATTTAACTCTTGTAAACACAAAACCAAAATAAAAACTTCTTGACGTTTCTCATGCTCACGCTATGTTAAGAACAGCACCCTGTGTTGCTGCCTATACCACAGAAGAAAAAGAGCCTCAAACCACAATCATTTTGTTGCGGCCCCACTAGTAGCCGAACTGGCACATCCTCTCTGCATTTTATTCTTTTTGTTTCCTACTTTTTTTTACCTGGGTCTTGTACAACAACTCTTAGTTTAGTTTTAGAAAGAGTTTTATGGCACTTGCAATACAATAAGGTCATATAGTACTACAACTCTGAAATCACTTACTTATGTCTGGAAGAGCAATTTACTCTTATAGACACAAAGCAAAATGAAAACTCCAGGACATTTCTAATAGAGTGGCCTACGAGAAAAAATCCTGAACTTTTTGGACACCATGAAAACGTGCCCGTGTGGCAGCTAAAAAATTTACAGATCATATTGTCAAATACATTTTGTATCAAGACTTTTTTATATAAAGTGCAAAAAGTCCAGCAAAATCTGGACAACTTCAGAAACCCACAAGATAAATTGGAAAATCAGCACCTCTGTTCTCATGAACTCCAACAAACAAACACACACACACACTCACAGACTTGCTCTGTGTAAAGAGCAACACCCTGTGTTGTTGCTTGTACCACAGCCTCAGCAGAGCCTCCACCACAATCATCTTGCCGCTGCGTCGCCAGTAACCGTACTGGTACTCAGGTTCACCCGGCATAGTGTCTCCGCGAAAAACCTGGGGCCCTCCAGTGGACAGATCGGAGTGGTTGCAGATCTTACGCAGAGTGATCAATCCAGAAAAGACCTGTTTTAGATGAGATAAGATAAAAATAGTACTGTTCCATAAGGATAATTTCGGGTGGATATACCACAACATCAACTTACAAAGATTCTGCATCAACACAGAAATGCATTGAGTACATTCAAAACAGTAGATACACAAAATTTAGAATTCTGCATTGAAACAGTTGCTTCAAAATCTTACATCACAGAAATAAAATCGCAAACTATAAAACATATCTACATAGCTGTTACACATTCACAGACCTGAAACTTCCCCTGAATGATGGCATTGCACTCCCTGGAGTCTAGGTATTCCTGATAGACATCACGTTGCTCGTCAGTCAATCGGCAAAACAAAACCTGGTTATGATAGATTACAGAATCATTACGTCACTAAAAAATGAACATACAATGGACTTTTCACCTGAATAATATCAATTCAATATCTGATTAAAAAGCACTAAAATGTCCTTATTAAAACCATTCTGTAACATATACTTTCATCCATTATTGGTTTTCTATCCAACAGTTGTTACAACTTCAAGGTTTGCATTGGTACTCACACCTTTTCAACAACCAAACTGCTAGAGCATCACATCACTCAGTGTTTACCTCTTATATGGACCAACCAAAACTCTTTGTTTTCTGATAAAGATTTAAAAAACCCTACTAGATTTGCAATTAAATATAAAATAATTGGAGTAACTGGCAACAGCCCAGTTCAGACCCCAAAATAAATGAACGCTATTCTTGGCAAAGTATTTAATCACACTTCAGGTATCTGTTATAAAACTGCTCAAATTCTAACACTTGACAATCTTTCTCCATCACGAACACATACCTATCGGTACCTGTGGTGGAATTGTTAGGTTCTTAACTACAGCACTCAGACAATGTGAGTTTCCTTTACATTTGGGGAATTTATCTTATCAAGCATCTCCATCTGCATAGGTCAAAGCAGCTCGCAGCCTCTTATGTGATTTACATTGTGTCAAGGGGTGCATTTAACAATCAGTCAGTCAACACATACCTGTTCATTTTTGTTCGGCAGTTCCAGATTTTTCTTGACATCAGCCTTCATGCGGCGAATCAGGTATGGATTGATGGTGTCTCGCAAGACGCATGCACACCTGTACGCTGTCTCCACCTGAGAAATTATAAGGATTTCCACAAAACCTTTAAGATTGGGATAATTCAAATCATCAAGTTATGACAAAAAACAATTTACACATTCACCATTTGTAGGTTGAGTTGGCATCAAACAATGCATTCACTAAACATATATTTCCATTATAAAATTAACAAATACTGAATTATGCCTCCATACAGTACATACATCAGTCAATATAGCATACTCATTGATTTTTAAATTATATCACGACTAATTGTCGTGTAAAGGTAGAACTTTAATGCCCTCAACAACACTACCTAGATTGTTTAGGAGGTGGGCTGCTTTGATCCTGCCTATCAGGGTAAACTAGGCATTTTGCAATCACATATACAGCAGATAATTTGTTCAAGGTGTCATCCAGATCACAGGAACCCTTCTGGAAATTTTTTAGCTGAACATGAAAGACAAAGTTAAGGCACATCAGGCACAACGCTCCTGTCAAGCAACGGATGATTGTGCGTTCTATGTAGATGAAATGGCTATGCCCACATAAAACCAACTGCACTGTGAGATGATCTTTCACTAACTTTCAGTCAGTTACTGCCTCAGATTTAGCAAGGGTATGGGAAGACGAAGAAAGCTATATGAGGAAAAGCAATATCTGTTAAAAGACTACCCAATGTTCCAGGCATATAGAAAGAAATATTGGCCCAGCCTTAGGTAGAGAGACTCAACGAGAGCCTAGAGGATCTGCAGCAAACAGCAGCCTTTGCTTTGGAGACTGAGGAGGAGGAGGAGGAGGAGGAGGAGGAGGAGGAGGAGGAGGAGGAGAAGGAGGAGGAGGAGGAGAAGAAGAAGAAGAAGAAGAAGAAGAAGAAGAAGAAGAAGAAGAAGAAGAAGAAGAAGAAGAAGAAGAAGAAGAAGAAGAAGAAGAAGAAGAAGAAGAAGAAGAAGAAGAAGAAGAAGAAGAAGAAGAAGAAGAAGAAGAAGAAAAAGGAGAAGGAGAAGGAAAAAAGAAGGAGAAGAAAAAGAAGAGGAAGAGGAAGAGGAGGAAAAGATCAAGAACAAGAACAAAAAGAATAAGATATAAAAGATTGATAAAGTTACCTGTATCTGAGTAGCATTGGAGTAGCCTCCTTGTACAATCGGGATAGAGAAATGCTGCATGAAGTCAGGCAGAGTACCCAGCTTGCCCGGGAAGACAAAGTCAAACAAGGACCATAACTCCTTCAGGTTGTTCTGGATGGGTGATCCCGAGAGGATGATGCGATGGGGAGTTCGGAACTGAAAGAAAAAGTAAAAGTGAAATAGAATGTCTTATCTGTTTCTGTCATGTATGAACTCAAGATAAGAGTAGCCCAAACACTAAAAGCTAAAAATTCCCAACAAACAACCTCTGCTTGTGTCTGGGGCCATATAGGTAAAGAGTAAATAAAAAATATAGTCACTATCCCAAGCAAAAATGAGCTGCTCAAATACAGTCGAACCTGCTCTAACAACCATCTGTCCAAGGCAATCACCTGTATAAACAACCACACCCTACTTCAACCCTTGTGTTTTTACTATATTATCATGACACACTTCAGGAAGACCACCTGTCTTAGAAGACATAGTTCTTCCTTATGATGGGTGGTTGCTTTGGACAGGTTTGTCTGTACTTCTATTTATCCGGTACAGCAGGGTCAAACAATAGGAGTCATTTTTCTTGTGACAGTATGTCTCTTGGTAAACTGAATACATTAAGTATTTTTCTGCACTCCAAAAATTATTATGAAATGAAAGTCAGCTCACTAAGTAGTGTTATGATCTGATGACAAAATAAGCAAAGAGGAACCCCCCTTTAGAGAACAGTTTTTATAATTGGTTTCATATCTTCATCATCCTGAAAAAAAAAATTCGGACTCTTTTTCAATCCACAAAGCAGTACTCATATATAATATGAAAGCCATAACACCTTATTTTTTCTCGTCCTGAGCCATGATTTTATTTTGTCTTGTGACACAAATATTGGTTAATGTGCATGTAAAACAATTACAAAAATATGCACAACAATGCTAGTATCTAAATCATCTTACTGAGAATTTCCTAAATGAGTTAGCAGAGACACACAGAAGTAAATTTAAGATCACAGAAAGCCACAATACCTGTTTGCAGCAGATGGTGACTTTTGCATCCGGGTTGCGTATCTTGTGGCCTTCGTCCAGGATGACGTAGTGCCAGTTGAAGCGCAACACCAGCTCCTGATGGATGACCAGCGTGTTGTACGAGGTGACCAGCACACCATGACTTTTGGCAATTGAACGCACAAGCTCGGACTGCAAAATAAGGAAAAGAAAAACCAAATAAGGTCCTTCAAACTTTTCAAGTTTTAGTAAATGTTTTGCAGTGCTTGCCACACAATCAGGTAACATAAGTGTCTTAGATTAGAAGTGATACAAGAGAGTGACAAACACAAAAAAGAAAAAGGAAAGATAAGGACAATAGATGTTTGATAGGAAAAAAACGAGCAAACCACACCAGAGCAGCCATTAACCACTCAATTCCTTCAAATGTAGAAAACAGAATTGAAATAGATTTCATCAGCCTGTTTGTAAATATTTAACACATTTCAGCACATTTGATGATAGAAGAGACCAACATGAAATTTAAAGATACTAAACAAATTAGGTTTATTTACAACAGACAAGAGTTACTTGCTTAAATAGATTTATTTAGCTCTATTCAAATATCTCACTTTCATTCACCTTATGCCAAATTCATCAACTTTATTTGCTTCTAATGTTTTTCCATAGAAAAAGAATCAGAGAAATAATTACTGCCACAATTCAAGCGTCCTCAAATAATTGCAGCACATATTCTAGTTTTAGTAAGGTTTTACTGCGCTTGCAACTGCATAAGGTCATATGAGCGCCAATGCACACATAATTTTACAACACCCAAACACAACAAAACATGTTAAGTCACTACCTGCTTACCCTACCCCCCCCCCCCCTAAAAAAACAGCAAACAAACAAAACAAGAAACAATAACCCCCCCCCCAAGAAAAAAACAAACCAAAAACCCCAAGATAAACAACAACAATAAAAAACCGATAGCATTAGAAAGGAGAATACAAAGACAAAACCATCTAGACTCCTTTTTTTCAACTTTGTTTAAGAAGACAGCCTAGAAGTCACATGAAATAATTACTTAAAAAGTGAAGAAAAGTTTTAAAATTCCAGTTATTTACCTCTGACCCGGTAAATGTGCCTGATGAGTGCAGTATGGCAACACGAAACTCTGGCCACCACTTGTGGAACTCTTTGAGCCATTGATGCATCACTGTTGTAGGACAGATGATGATGGTGGGACCCAACCCTTTGTACCTGTTGGATGTTTAAAAGTGATCTAAAATGTACCAAGTATTCAAAATGTTGCAGAATCTGGCCAAGCCTTCAACATCAGACCAGCTGGCTTGGGTCAATCAGAAATGTAACCCCTTTCGACTTGAATTGACTTCCTTTATCACTTTTCTCCTTGAAAAATAGTGATGTTTTAGAGATGTGAGAAAATTAACATTTTGCATTTAAGGTCAGCAATCAAAATGCAAAATAATATTCTGGAAACTGGGATTTGTAGAAGAAAGAACTTTAAATTGCGGCTAGATTTTTTGGTTAAAGTTAGACAGTCAAGCATTCACATAGCAAAATCAGTAGGAAACTTAAAAATGTATATGAACAAATTCAGAACCTGAAAATATGTTCCCTATGAGTGTTTTTTAATTATTCCTATTGATTAAGTATGGGCTATACTGCAAAACACTGAGATATGTATGAAAATTGTAATAACTACTGTTTAATACAAATTTGGGATAAAATCAAGGCAGTATGGAAGAAATATCAGAACTTACGGAAAGTTCACATTGCGGACTTTGCTAGTTCGAAGCGATGCCAAGAAGGAGATAGTCTGTATGGTCTTCCCTAGACCCATCTCGTCCCCAACAATGCCACCTGCCTGTTGAGTGTGTAGCTCCCACAACCAGCGCACACCTGTTTTCTGATACCTGTCAAAAAAACACAAATACAGTGACAACTACAAAGACAATATCTTTTCCTCTGTGAACAGTGGAAAGCAACAACTGCATTAATATAGTGCTTATCCACCATCTATATCATGCTCTATGAGACTTACCATTACTATTACCCAAACAGACTCCAGAACACTCAAACACACATTTTCAGCTTCCCAGGAAGCATAAAGTGCAAGTAACTGAATAAGTACTCAAACACAGACCTGTGTACAGCCGGGTACCAATTCCCACCCGGGTGAAGCTAGGACAACTCATGAAAAACGTCTTTTCAAAGGACATACTGTCAGGTCCCTGATGAAGTTTGAACCCATGATCATTAGGCTAGCAGCTTGACGGCCTAACTGCGAAACCACTGATGCCTCAGACAGATTGCCACTGTACACTTGTGTTTACTAATCAGTAGATTGTATTAAACACAAAGACCCTACTCAATCACTTATGCCAGAACACTATCCACTTCGAGGACAAGAATGAGGTGTGAAATTACAATTACTATGAACACCTCAGCACACCTAAAGTTTATTTTGAAAAGTTCCAAAAATCAAAAGAACCCAACCTAAGCTACATCAGGGAGCTGAACCCTTGAGAACAAGGCGATCATGCATAAACTAAAATTCCATTGCCAATATGCCACGAACAAAACAAAACACCCCCTGCCCTGAATATTTAGTCTTCCAACAAGGAAGATAACAAAAGTGAGGCAAAAACATCGCAAAAGATCTTCCCATTCCCAAGCAGAAACAAGACTTACTTGAACAACTTTCTCCAAAGCTTGGGAGGAACCCGAAGACCACCATCAAATTCTCCATCATCTTCTTCTTCCTCATCTTCTTTATCTCCCTGTTTCTTTGCATTGGCGTGTAATTTCTCTTCTTTCTTGTCAAGTTTTTGTTGCCTGAGACATAGAAAACAAAAAATATATCATTTTGCAGACATATTGTGTTATCAGCTTTAAATGTGGTTTGCACAAATACCCGCTTGACTATCTAAGCATGTGTAATATAACCAGTTGTTTAAATTGTATGAGTCCATTGCTTTTGTTGTCTCTGAGAGCTTTACATACATTTCAAAGCTGAACTGCATTTATTAGTATGTCCTTTTTTTCATAATTCATACAATCAATGGCAATAAACCATATATCTTCATTCATTATTAACTTTATTTCACATATCTTATTTACAGTTCAATGTTGATACATATCATATCTTTAAGATAATCTCTGTGTATTGCTTTAAACAACACATTTCAATAAGGTCACCCACCCACCCACAATTCAACATACCCTTGATAAATTCCGACAAAAAGTCTCCATTCCAAATCATATCTAACTGTACCTCATGCTTAAAAAGTTTTCCAGCTCATATATTGGAACATGATTAGATCATAACAAACGCACTGGACTTGAGCTTACTTTATGAGCCGGTCATTATAAGTCTCTGGATCTGCATCATCCTTCTCTCTTCTGATCGACAAGTCGCGTTTCACTTTTGTTCTCACTGGCTCATCATCATCACTGTTCTCCCTGTACTTTGGCAAAGGACGAGGCTTTTTCAGGGCCTTCTTGCGTGAACGTTTTCGTTTTCCGTCCACTCCAAGACCAGCTTTGCCCAGTTCATCTGTATCAAAGATGTGAAAAGCTTTATGTAAAAAGTTTGATCAAAATTATTACTGCTGTGTCCACTAATAATCAATTCTCTTAGAGTAAAAACTCCTTAAAAACCAATATAAGACCCTTGTTCCATCAATAATTCCATTTTTCACATATTGCCGAGGTAAAGCAAAATTTATCCAAACATAAAAACATATACATATACCCATGAACTTATTCCATTACAAAGACAGCAAAAGTCACTTTAAATGTCAAAAAACTTCAAATAACTACAGTGATTCAGAACTGGTGGCTGTGGTGTAGCAGTAATGTTTTACACTGTTGCAAGCAGGAAACCTGAGTTTGATCCCCCAGTCGGGAGAAAATTTTCATCATGTATGTTTTTCTACTGAGATGTTATATACCTCTAAGCCCGGTTTGGCCCCAACAGGAAGCCCACCTCCTAAATCATCTAGATCTAAATTGTGCCGATTGGGGAGGTAAAAAAAAAAATCTATTTATTTTTACTGGCACAGGAAGTGTCAGACTGTAACTTCAGAAAACATTGTACATCTTTACCTTCTGAGGCATCATCATCATTGAAGTCATCCGAGGACTCCTCTCTGAGTTCCTGCTTGCTCGGTTCATATACATCTTCATCATCTTCAAATGCATCTTCATCCCTGCAACATTGAAAGAAAGCAGTAGGTGCTTGAACTACGATAAAGAAAATGTACAGCAATGTAAACTATACAATAGGTAAATTGAATAAATAGAAACATTTTATTGCCATTGAAATATAAGGTATGAATGTCAACTTGCAAAGGGTAATACAGCAGTGAAATTTGTCAGAATGTAAAAAAAGAACATTCCCTTGTTTAGAAGGCTTCGGCTGAACCATAACTGTAAAAAAAAAACCAACCAACGATGTAACGATGACAAATGTTTTGCTGAGCATAGAAACATGGTTTATGATGTTGCAGTCAACAAATACTAAAACTCTCAGCGTTTTTTTTTCCAATAGAGAGTGGTAATGACAAATAGACAAATGCGCGAAAGAAAGCAGTGAAGAGAAGAACACAGATAAAAATGTGCTGTGGCTACTGTCCAGAAGGTAACAGATTCTACTTTTGTTAAAACTTAATAGTTTTCATAAGATTTAATACATAAAAAACAAACCTGTCGAAATCTTCTTCATCACTTAAACGGATGTCTCCACTGAAGCTGTGCTGAATCTTGCGTGTAACTCTCTTTCTAAACTTGGGCTGAGTATAATCAGTCTCCTTATCATACACTCTCCAGTCTCTCTCATCAAAACGATTCCTTTTACTTTTATTGCTGGGACCCGCCCGGGGCTCAGAACTTTTATCACCGCCATCATCTTCTTTTTGTGCCTGAGGTTTCTGAGCTTGGCCAGATTTTTTCTTGAGGTACTTGCTGAAGTCTTTCTTTGCCTTCATTGCTGTTGATTCTCGAGCACCCATGAGTTTTTCAAACTCAGACAGTCTGACCGCTTTCCCAGGTGCAGCTGCTGTAGAAGGTTTTGTTTTCACCATTGTTCCAAAAGGAGTCATCTCTCCTGTTCGGATCATGCGCTCGCGTTCAGATTCTTTTTGTGGTTTCTTCTTCAACTGAAAGGCTTGATCAAATGTACTTTCATCATCTGCCCAAAGAAAGGAGACAGTAACATATTAAACAACAAAAATAAATCGTTAACAAAGAAACTTTTTAATGGATTGACTTCCCCCTCAAACCTGTATCTCAACGTTATCCACAAAATTTTATTTTTTTTAATGGATAGATTTGACCAAAAGGTGTGACATCTACAGGCGGTGGGAATTCCAGACCTTATTGGGCACGGCGTACAAACAGCGCTCTTTTAGTTGAATCGGCGATGGAGTGACCGGGTCACGGCGGGCTGGTCACCCAGAGGTCACTAACCCGCCCTCCCGCTACCTGCGTCGGTAGCCGGTGAAATGAATTTTTCAACACATGTTTTATTGTCTTACACAAACAAAAAATATTATACGTGAACACAAGTTTTTTTCTTTAGAGAAAGCAACTAAACCTCTTTATTGGTACGAAATAGCAACACCATGGCTGCTCACGTTTTTTAGTTAGATGCTCTTAAAATGTATGTCTATTTATAGTTAATCAAAACAACATGTGCGAAAATATGAAGTTATGCAGAGTACAGATTTGTGATAGGCCAAGAAAAATTTCTTTTTTAAGTACCCCACACGGCGTCCGAAATTCCGTCTCAGCGATCTATTAGTTAGTCCGGGCCCCCGCATTCCATGCGGACATGTAATTGTCGATTGCTACAAAGATTTCTGGAAGTGAAAATTGTTTGACTGGTTTGAGATGTGATACTGCAGTGTGAACATGGCTAAATCTTTCATTGAGAAGATAGAATATTGCTTCCAGTCCACTTGCTTCCTCAATTTTTGCAGTTTCGCGGGAGTATTTTCTTGTTTCTGTACAAATTGTGTTTGTTAGTTCCTTGCATACATGGGGATGGAGGGAGGTATGCTTGGGGTGTTTTGCAATGTTTGCTTGAAAATGATTTTTGTATGCAGCCACCCAAGCGGTGCCGACAAAATGGAGAAGGAATTCACATTTATGCTATTGTCAAACGCTCACCACATGTTCCTATTAGTGTCAACTGCTTTTTTGCGGCATGAATTGACGTGATGTAACACCATATCTCCTTTTGATAGTTGAAATCGCGGTAAAACACTTGACACAAATGTTACCGGAATACGACTGTTCATCTTCGTCCCTCACATCAATCCCATAAACCAAGAGAATATATCCTGCCATTGTCTTACATAATCGTGGCTTTCTGTACTTTTCTGTTTGACAGTTAAATTTAAATGCCAACGCACCCAACAAAGTTCATTCAGAGACTCTCTATGCCTCTCATATGTGTGACCCATTGCAGTTTAACAATTTTTACTTTGGAACACAATTCACTAACTGATTGCCAGTCACTGCAAAGTGCTGGAAAAACAAAATTCACATCATTAGAAAATATGATTTGATGGCTATCACACCGCGCAAACAGAAATAAAGACCAACGTTTCATTCTCGAATGATTTGTAATTAAATTTGAAGAGATCACATTATTAACGGCGCTTCCGATCATTTAACACTCACAATTTAAAACTGTTATTATTCCCAAACGAATCAATGAAAACTATTGAAACTTTCACAAGATATCAAGAAGACGTAGACGAAGCGAAATTGGTGAAGAAATAGATTCTAGGGGTAGAGTGAGCATCATTTTACGGCTCATGAAATTAGGGGAAGAAACGCGTTCTGATAAGGACAAGATAGGACAGCGCTGTGCACGAGTTGACCCCGGTCAATCCCCGACTTGACGCGTGAAATTGCAGGTCACCTGCCGCTGATTTATGGCCTACCGCTGGGGGCCCGGACTAACTAAAAGATCGCTGAGACGGAATTTTGGAGGCCATGTGGGGTACTTAAAAAAGAAGTTTTTCTTGGCCTATCACAAATCTGTACTCTGCATAACTTCATATTTCCTAGTATATCAAACAAAAGCAATATGTCATGGCGTCATGATTGAACGTGGATGCAAGTATGAACACCAGTGAATGCCAGCGTGTGTATGTGAGTGTGTGTGTGTGTGTGTGTGTGTGTGTGTGTGTGTGTGTGTGCGCGTGTATGTGAAGAGAAAGAGAATAAGAAGGAGATGGAGAGAGGGAGGGAGAGAGAGAGAGAGAGAGAGAGAGAGAGAGAGAGAGAGAGAGAGAGAGAAAGAGAGAGAGAGAGAGAGAGAGAGAAAGAGAGAGAGAGAGAGAGAGAGAGAGAGAGGGAGAGACAGACAGACAGACAGACATACAGACAGACAGACAGACAGACAGACAGACAGACAGACAGACAGACAGACAGACAGACAGACAGACAGACAGACAGACAGACAGACAGACAGACAGACAGACAGACAGACAGACAGACAGACAGACAGCTAGTGTGTAAATTACCTTCATTGGCAGCCTCTCCAGTTTGGTCAATACCAGCCAATTTTTTCTGAACATTCTCTTTGCGAACTTTCAATGTTTTCAGCTGCTTCACCTATAGACAACAGAAGGTAACAATGCTGATTCATGTACTAATACTAATTACAAAGGAAAAGTGCAACAGCAGTAGGCTACATATCCTGAAATACAGTCAAACCTGCCTTGACAGAAACCTGTGTAAAACGGAAACCTGTCTTAACGGAATCTCCCCACTCCCCCTTGAATGATATATTCCTCTTTAACTACCTGTATAAAATGGAAACCAGTCAAACGTGGAAACGGAAAGAAAAAACGGCTCCCTTCTGAGGATTTTACCAGTCTACGGCGGAAAATGCTTTGCCTGCTCAGCCCTGATTTGAAACAAAACTCGCAACTTGGTTCCACCGGCTCTAAGCTTAACGGTATGCCGCCGGGCGAGGAACGGGTGACATGGGATACGGGTGCAATTTGGAGGTAGATGTTACCCCATCTAAATGAGCCCTGGGCAATACAGATGGTAAGGGTAGTGTGGGTGAGAAACTCACGTTTGCCAGTTTAAGTGCTCGAGCACCAAGCCATCATGGAAACTGTCCTTGGTAGCCATAAGCCAAAAGTGTAAAATTAGTTTGACCAAAGCCTGCCACTTTGATAGCAAAATCCAGTCGAGAAAAGAGTTCCTCTAATCGTTGTTACGAGGCAGTGAAGGGTGGCATTGGTTGACTGTGCTTGTTACACCGATGGATGGGGCTAAGGGTGGAAGCAAAGGACATGTTCAAACGTTTTTGTTTTTAATAGGTCAAACAGTGGCCCATGAAATGCAAGCACTGGTAGTAATTGGATAAGACTGACGCATATCATTATCAGAGAGGATAGCAGTTGAGGTGTGAAGTTTTGACCACTGCTTGCTGACTGGACAAGCAACCCTTGATCACACTGGCAGAGCCTTGAAAACCCCCTCCATCTCCTCCTAAATTTCCCTGTCAAAAACGGAATTTTTTTTCGGGCTCCCTTGCGATTCCGTCTTACACAGGTTTGACTTGATCTCAAATTTGAGGCAATAAAAGCACTGTGAGAAACACAATACAAATGCCATTACAGTGGAAACCATATATAACAGGCCCGGTAATAACAGGGAACCGGTAATAACAGGGATTTTTAAAATCCCCGTTTTTTCCTACTCTTTGCCTCTATAAAAAATTATTGGCAATAACGGGGCATCATTGGAGCCCAATTGGTTATAGCAGGGACAAAGGCTCGTTAACAATGTATAAAAAGTAAGAGAGAGAGAGAGAGAGAGAGAGAGAGAGAGAGAGAGAGAGAGAGAAACGCAGTAATTGAGCAAGCCCACACAGCCACGCTACTGCTGCAAGTACACGCATCAGGTGAAGCGAGAGAGGGTCGGAGTGCGCTGCAGTCTTCAGTCTTCTAGTCCTTAGCCAAGCTACACGCACGCACGTGTAATGTGTCATGCGCAGGCCTGCCAATGGCCAAAACCCCTGTTCGTGGGTACTTGTGGCAAGGGAAATTACCCATGAATAAATACAGCTGGATTAGTTCACAAATGCTTACTTCCCTTACATTTCTGATTTAACAGGGATCGGATATAACAGGACTTTTTCTCTGGTCCCACCATCCCTGTTATATCGGGTTTTCACTGTATTACATATTTCCTCCAGCTTAGTCATTGCAACTATTAACAACCTGTACCTTTTCATATTCTGAAACACACAAGTGTGTCAGCTTAGAAGCTACTTTCTTTAAAGTCATGCAAGATTGCTTTCCAACATGACATGAGGCACAAAGACAATCATTGAACAAACTTTCACCCTAGGCATTTAAAGACTTACTTTCTTCTGCAACTAATAGTATTTTGCTAATTGTCCTGTGTCAATTATTAGTACTGAACCTGTAGAGTATAAAACAATTAAAAAGGTTTTTTTATCCTAAGACAAGACTTTTGTTGCTATGAACACAATTGTGAAAATACATACCTTATTCTCCTTCTGTCTTCGCATTGACTCCAGTTGCCTCTGTACCTCTCTTGAGCCATCCCCTTGTTCTTCTAAGTTTGTTTCTGCTATGTTGACTCTTTCAAGATCTTTCTTTGCCATGCTACAGGAAGGAAATGTGCATAAGGCCATAGAGACAACTAAAAAAAAACAATGAATGAAAGAACAAATTGTGTTGTTTTAAATTCATACACAACAGCTAAACTGTCAGTTATTAACTATAAAAAGTTTAATGTAATGCAAATGTGATCCAAAATTTTAGCAAAAAAAAGATAAAGGTGATATGAATCTTAATGGTAGCAAGAATAATGAGTGATAAAATGGCTTTTTGAAAATTAAATAATACATATTTGGTTTTCTTAATTCAATGTAGACCAAAGGCTGACAACTCATACTAAAAGTTGTACATTTTACATTGAGTAATAAAAGAACCCCCAAAAACATGCAGACAATTCCTTATCTTACTAATAAAATATAATTCAAAATTACTTTATGTCATCGTTAATTGTAGTCAACTCCCTCTCAAGTATTTTCCGCAGCCTTAACTCTTCCTCTTTGGCCAAGGCGTCATCAACTTGTTCCATAATCCCTGAAAATGACAATCAACATTTTTTATAACTTTATTCAGTCTTCCCATCCACCCAGACCTGAAAATTCAAGAACAAAATACAAATTTAAACACAAAAATACATAACTAAGCATCTCTCCAAATATGTGAGGAAACTGCAGGACTAAATGCCCGCTTTCATGAAAATGAATGAGAAAAGCCTGCACTCATTCCCTGAAATCCGCCCAATAACTAGTAGATTCACATGCTCAAGAACTAATTCAGCAAAGCTTACCCCATTCGCTTAACAACTTTCTACTCTAGTTTCTTTTACATGAGGCACTTGTTTACATATAGTCTTCTCCATTGATTTCTTGTTTAGCAAAGTGTAGCATCATGTATAAAAACCCCCCAGGAAATTGAAAGAGAAATTTGAAAAAATCAGGACATTTTATTCTTCAAAACTAGGATATCATAAGTCTAGACTGGAATAGTTTAAGTATACATAGAAGCATAGGGTCGAGTTGATGGTGCCTCATCTCGTAACGAAGAAAATGCTGGGATAATCTGTTGATTCATTCTACTGAATGAGTTAAGCCTGCATCGACTTTTGAATACAATCATACAATTTCAACCTTTATTGAAACAAAGAGACAAATCGAATTAAAAACAGCTGAACAGAGCTCTGTACACTTTTGCATCACTAAAAAACTATAGGACGAGTAAAAGAACCATAATAATTCTTATAAGCTGAGTTCAAATATAATACAAGTTACAATGTAACTCAAATAAATTGAAATGAAATCTATCCAACAGGCTAGCCCATTCAGCATATATACACTTCTGTAAACATGTAAAATTCAATACAGGATTATAAATGGTTCACCTTGCTCAAAAACATCTTGATTGAAAACACTGAGCCCAAGTTCTTGAAGTTCTGATGTCCCTTGCTCTTCCAACATGGCCTGTGGGATAAGGCCAGTATCAACTTGGAATGCATCTTTTTCCTTTGTGTTAGTCCCACTTCCTCCTCCTGATGAAGTTGATGGTTCATCAATTTGTAACCCTTTACGGGTGGAAGCTGAAGAGGAGGGTGTCAGCTTGCGATTCATTCTCTTTGGTAGCGAGTCTGTGGAGAATTGATTTCCTAGATGTATATTTCATTATTGAAAGTAAAGAACACACAACATTTTTTATAACAAATCTCCCCTTCCATCTTTAAGTGCATCAGCAGTGTCTCATCGCATGAACATTTAAAAAAAAAAATCACACTCTCGTGTTGTCAATTTTCCAGTTTGAACTGTTTTACTCTGAATTTATCATGTATTCAAGTAGGCCTCTAAGGTAAAATTTGACCCTAAGGCTAAGGTCAAAGATGCCTGAAAACTATAAAACTTCTTAACACATCATTTTCTAGAGAAAAAAAATCACCAGAAACATCCTTAAACATATATATATACTTTATTTTCAGACTTATTAAATTTACCACCCTGTGAGACTGCTATCAATCTTATCAAAGGGGCCTTAAATTGGTTTGTTTTCCTCTGCACCACCGGTTCCAGAAGTGCTGCTATTGCTCAATATGAGCATTTATTAAAATAGTCACACAGGGTAGTGAATATAAAATTTAAGGCCGGCTCTATTACTCCAAACGCTCGGGAAAATAAACTTGAACTCTATTTCTATGGAAAGTAGCCGTTCTCGAAATTTTTTCGTTATTTGCGAATGCAATGTTTCGCTCCCCTTTGTTTTGAGCCAGAGAAAAGGCCTAGAAACAGAATATCAACTGTCATTCATTAACTGGTCTGGATGTCATGATTCATATCATATATAAAATAAACGCGAAAGACAAAAATTAATGCTCAAACTCAAAGCAGAGTAATAACCTGAATAGCTCAAGTAGACCTATTCAGTGTGAGAGGTGTAAGAACTGTAGGAGGGCAAGATGCAGTGACTAGACCTGCATGTGAGCCTCAACGTTGTCTGAAAATTTTGCGCACCGACCCCCCCCCCCCCCCCCAATAACGTATATTATATATTATATATATAAAAGAGCTTTAAAATTGTGGGTGTCATAAAAGGAAGGACTTCCCAGTAACGAGCGACCACGGTGACCACCCGAACAAACACAATAAAGAAGAGACCTAACCCTAACCCAAACCCTACCCCTAGGCCTAACCCAACAAAGAACCTGCAACGGCCCTCATGTAAAAAGGCTCACACAAGTCAAAAAAAAAAAAAAGGCACACTCCAAAACAAACAAGGATCAAAGAGCATTATATGGCCTACAAGGCTATAGAGTTTGATACAATAATACAATAGAAGTGGAATTATGAATCCTCCATATAGATCTAGATCTAGTATATATAATATATTACTATTATAATAGATCTAGTGATCTAAATAAATCTAGATATAGATCTAGTAGAACAAGTGAATAGGAATAGGCCTTGATTTTTTAAATGAAAAATCCGCGTCCGATTCCGAACTGAGGGACTCAGCTGAGTCTAGATTAGATCTTTATTCTAAGATTCTAAGTAAATAATTCACGCACCTGATAAAATGCGTTTTACCAACATTAATATTACAGCACAACCTATAATGGGGTTTGGCACAATAGAATTGGAATATGAATCCTCCATTGAGGTCTATAATGATCTATAAATCTAGATCTTGAGTAGAACAAGTGAGTCGGACTTGAAAGAATCCACATGATGTGAACAAGCAGTAAACAAAAGAAATTCAAAATGGCCGCTCGAGCACGAAACTGAAAGTAGATAATTTAGGTCGTCGTAATACAGGTAGGCCTAGCGATAGCATCGGCCGGTTCGCGGGTCGGGTCGCGATTGTCGGATGTCAGACAATTGTCAGCAAACATGCAGGTCAAAGTGACACTGAAAATCTGCAAATCTTGAATAGAAAGCTAAAATTTAGAGAGATATTATAATTTACCCAATGAAACGCGAACACTTTGGCCCTTAAGTTTTACATGCTTACACGTTATGACGGTTCCCGATTTCACACAAAGCCTGCATGAACGCACACTTTACTTTGAGCTGTAAAGTAATCAAATTCTATTCATTAAAAAATTTGCTTCCAATTTCAGTTTTTTGTCCAGTGGTGTTGCATCCAGCCCCCCATTTCCGAGTGTATCTTAAAAAAAAAATCAATAATCTCCCCCCATTCCGGAGTCCTCTACTTTGCAGCGCTCAGAACACGCGCAGGTTCACTGACCTGTCACAATAGCGAACCTGACAAGACGCGTTACAACTTGTATGACTTTCTTTTCTTGTTTTTTTTTCCCCCACAAGTGACAGCATAGTGAAGAATATTGATTTATTTTCATGGCGACACATTTGTAATGCACAACCTGCAAGTTACAAATGTTGCATTATTGGACTATTACGGGAAAATTTCTGGGTGGTAACGAAAGCGAAAGTAGACCTTGAATTTTCAGTCGAGCCTCAGTGTCACATACAATTCCGCTAACGCCATAGCCGCCTGTTCACGTGAAACGTACGCTCACACCGGAAAAAGCAAAATTAATATCACAATCGCGACCGGCAAAAATGAAACTTAAAACTTTAAAGACACGTTGGGATTTGGTTTTGCAATATTCGAGATCTTTTTTTTAATAAAACTTTTATGTCCATGTATTTTCCCGGGTCTCTGATTTTTTTCAAATTCTCGGGACCTGGCAGTTACCCTGCTCCCAGCAACTCTCTTTCTGATTGTCCCGCTGTCGCGGCAGCAGAGTTTAGCGGAAGAAATGGCGGTAGCAGAAAAGCGTATAGCGGAATGTTGAGACCCAAGAAGAAGATGACTCCAACTCTCACAAATAACCAAAACATCTCGAAAACAAAACCCGTTCGAGGAAAAAGGGGTCAAGTTTTAAATTTGCTCGAGCGTTCGGAGAAATAGTCACTTCGAATAAAAAAAAGTCAGTTGACTTCACTCTGGGGTTCGAGTTCGAGTCAAGTCTTACTTAAAATATTTTTAAAACTATACTATAGGCTAACCCCTAAGTCTAAATAACACATTCCTAACTGAAAAATTTAAGGTGGCTGACTCTCCTGAATGGTGAGTTTCATTCCTTGAAGAAGTGGCTTTTAGCTTGTCTTTTAAATTGGAACCTTTTCCGAAACTACAAAATCGCCAGAAAATGAAATGTGCTGGACAAGCATTTTCGTTTTCACAAGTCATAAATGTTTATTATCCAGAAAAATCTAACAAAATATTTTGACATAGAATCTAGCTCAATCAGTGAGCTGGTCCAATGTCGTCCCTTAACTTTCGCAACATTAGCGAATATCATTTAAAAGACACGAGTAGGGAACTTTAAGTACAATGTTGTGATCAAGTCAGAGCTTCAAACGTCCTGCCTCCTTGATTCGGAGAAGTCTCACAATATTTTGTTACGAAAGTAAATAAAGCTACTTGACGTGTTTCCAACACCAAAGAACTCCAATAGTGTACACATTTTTCTTCTGGTACAGAAGAGTAACTGTTCATGGAGATAGGCCTACGCATGACAGAATATCTAACTTCCGGTGTTCCGCTTCGACCTCCGACCAGATAGCACAATGTCGTACGGAAGATATCCCCGTGAATATAACCCAAAGGTCCATGGCCCTTACATGCCGGGGCGCTATTATGGAAAACGTAAGTTTTAGGTTAAGGTTCAGAATGGTACTGTCTACAATTTTGACTAGTACGTCGCAAAATTGCATGTTTACCCTTCAACTTCAACCATTAGCTTGGCAAGTTTGTGTTCTTGGTCTTGGTTCGTCTCCTCTCGTGTCGCGTCTGCTGATCTCTTCTTGTCAAACCTTTTGCCTTTCGAAGCACACTGAGAAGTTGGTGTCATCTAGATTCTATTTTAGTAGTTTAGAATTAGAGTTCGTAGGAATGATAGAATTATGTTTTCACTTTTCAGTCTGTAACATTAGCCAGGCACTAGAAATCTAGATCTAGAATCTAGAGTCTACATCCGTGAAGCATAGTGCATAGCATAACCTTCAATTTCAATTTATAATTGAAGTCTGATTTTACCAGCAACGGAGTGTCTACGTACAGTGACACGGTGACCGGGCACCTAGCCTCAGTGTCTAAGGATACGGTAACTGGCAACCGGGCACATAGTCTCAGTGTCTATGTACACGGTAACCGGGCATGTAGCTTCAATATCTAGATTTTATATGTACATGATGGTAACTGGCAACCAGGCAGGTAGTCTCAGTGTCACGTACACGGTAACCGGGCAGTTCAGAAAGTCTCCAAGTTCACTTTTTGTCATCTGGTGTTGCCTTCATCCCCATCCCTCCCCCGACTGTACTTTAAAAAAAATCAATAATCCCTCCATTCCGGAGCCCTTTGCTTTGCAGCACACAGGCTTTGAATGAGCTTCGGTGACCCCAGGCCCAATCAAGCGGTACTCACAATGTGATGCACACGTGCAGGTTCACTAACAGGTCATGATGGCTAGCCCGACAAGACCCTTGTATGACTTCTTTTTTTTTCAGCAAGTGACAGCACAGGACAAAATATTGATTTATTTTCATTCCGGTTTACTGTGTACGTAGATATATTGAGACTAGGTGCCCGGCTACCGTGTACATAGACACTCCGTACCAGCAAAGCAAGTCCTTGGTTTTAAGTTTTCGGAGTGTCTACGTAGGTAAGATTGTACTTTACCGGACCACCGGTCGGAACTACTTTCGCTGTGGCGCCCCTGGTGCCTAGTGGCCCGCTGTTCTTCGTTTCCGAGCTCCCCTACTCACTCTCCTACTCAGTTTTCTACGTCCTCACTCTTCAACTGCCAGCAATCGACTGCCGTCTCTTACCGGGTTTTTCAGTCATCGCGACCGTGCCACTGTGCCCTTTGACCCATGACCCTGACACCTTGAGGCTAATTGGTCAATCTAATCACGTGGTCCACTATTCTTATTTGCTCGCGACTCTGCTGGCTTGGCCTAGGCCCTAGGCCTACTCCTGGTCCGGCAAAGTACAATGGAGGGCTAGAGATGGGCACGAGAGCTCATTTGCATAATTGCAACCCCATTGGCCCTGCTCGCGACTTATCATGCTATTGTTTATATGTGTGTGTGTGAGTGTCTTTAAATTATTGTTGCCAGGGGGGCTAGCCCCCCTGAAACCCCCCCATTGATATGTAATCACGACTGTCCGCTCATGTTATTGTTTCGCATTTTTGTGTGTTTTCTTTATTATAGTTTCCAGGGGGGCAAGCCCCCCTGAACCCCCCCACCCCACTGTTGGTATGATACACGGTGGTCCACCAAAGTTAAATCCCCTGCCCACTCTCAACCACCACCACCTCTCGCTCACCTCGCCTCGCCAGTCGCCGCTGACTTCGCTGTGCGTGCGCGAAGTCGCCCGCGGAACTACCTTTTGTCCGCACGCAGAGTACTATGAGTGCGTAGTTAGGCTAGGCGTGCGTAGTAATCACGGGCCGAGACGGGTGGTCCGGTAAAGTACAATCCAGCCTCTACGTACACGGGGTACATATTCTCAGTGTCACGTACATAGCAACCGGGCATCATGTAGATCTAGCCTCAATATCTACGTACACGGTAACCAGCAACCGGGCACATCATAGTCTCAGTGTCACGTACACGGTAACTGGGCAGTCCAGTTTTGCCTTCATCCCCACCCCTCCCCCAACTGTACCTTTAAAAAAAATCAATAATCTTTTATATATATCCCCATTCCGGAGCCCTATACTTCGCAGCGCACAGACTTTGAATGAACTTTGGTGACCCCAACCGGTGCTCTCAATGTGATGCACGCGCATAGGTTCACTGACCGGTTACAGTGGCAAGCCCGACAAGAGGCTGTATGACTTTTTTTTTTTTTCAGCAAGCAACAGCGCAGGACAAATATTGATTTTTATTTTCATTCCGGTTACCGTGTACGTAGATACTGAGACTAGGTGCCAGGTTACCATGTACGTAGACACCCCGTTTGAGTTTTCAACAGCTAGATCTAGATTTCTAGTGGGTATGTTGGCTGTTCGGCAGTCTCCGGGTTTGGCCCCAAGCAAGAGTTACTGACTTCAAAACTCGGAATCTTAGTGTTTTACAAAAGAACGAGAAATACACTGTATGCAGTTCTTTTGTGCAAAACTGTAGGCTCACAAGTGATCGCTAAAAATTGGGGCCAAACCTGGACTGAGGAGGACTTCCATAACGAGCAACCACTAGAGACAGAGTAGAATAGAGGGGTAGGGTTTGAATTAGGGTTAGGCCTCTTCTTTATTTATGTTTGTTGAGGTGGTTGCTCGTTACGGAAGTCCTTCCTTGGACTGGAGAACTGGAACTGTGGTAAGAGGACAGGCGGAAGCGGCGCTGTCTGCTATTTTTCTGTACAAAAGGAGCAGTAATATTTCACTGCATGCTCCCTTGATCTACAAAAATATCTAAAAATATAATGATATAGATCTATTTATATATAACATTATCTTCATCTACTTGGATTCTGGGTACTCCAATTTTTACAGAGAGGATTCTTTCAGGGTAAAACTATTATATTTGGTCTTGGAGGCGCTGGGAGGTCTGCTATATAACAATTTTAAGATGAATTGGTAAGTTCAGGAAAATATTATTGAGTCAATTCCATCGTGAAATTTTAATTTGAGCAATTGCCAAAACATGAGACTCTCTTGAGACTCAGTGGTGCAAACATTTTTTTTTTACCAATTTGACTCCCTTTTCTGTCATTCACAGATTGGCATTTAGAGGTCATATTCCTAGAGTATCAGAGCAAGGAGATGTAGGGTTTTGGAGATATGGGTCTATTGGTTTGGCAACCACTGTATTTCTTGTATATAACAGTGATGAAAAAAACAGATAAGCAGCAATGCAAATTATGGACTTTAAATTCCATTTGTTTAGTAAACAAAGACTTTGTACACTAAGAACTCCATTCATAATGGTAATTTGAAATTTTAATTTGAGCAATTGCCAAAACATGAGACTCTCTTGAGACTCAGTGGTGCAAACATTTTTTGGGGACCAATTTGACTCCCTTTTCTGTCAGTCACAGATTGGCATTTTTAGAGGTCATATTCCAAGAGTATCAGAGCAAGGAGATGTAGGGTTTTGGAGATATGGGTCTATTGGTTTGGCAACCACTGTATTTCTTGTATGTAACAGTAATGACAAAAACAGATAAGCAGCAAGGCAAATTATGGACTTTGAATTCCATTTGTTTAGTAAACAAAGACTTTGTACACTATGAACTCCATAATGGTAATATAAATGACAAGCTTTGTAACAATGACGCAGTGCTCAGAACATGTCATCGTTGTTATAAGAAAGGACACACATTGGATATTATCATTGACAATACATCACAATAGTGAAAGGCTATACAAATACAGTTATCAAAGCCTCAGTACCAGAAAAACACATATATGTGTAAAACAATTTTTAAACTAATATGAGGCAAAAGCACAAAATCAATGGAGCTGACTTGTACACATAACAGTGATGACAAACATGACTTGTACGTAACAATGATGACACAATGTACAGGAAAAGACAAAGTCATGCCTCCAGAGAGAAATGCGCACTCTAAGAATAAAAAAACAAACCAGGAGAGGTTTCTTTTGCTTTGAAACAGATATCAGGTCATATCAAAGACAGTGGACGATCACAATTATGTTGCTAAATGACAAACAGTACTCGTACATAACAGTGATGACAAAACATTATACTGGGAAAGGGTAAAATCATGCCTACAAAGAAAAAATTTGCACTATGAGATACACAAATCAATAAAGGCTTCTAAATGAATCTTACATGTATGAAATATATGTTGAAAACTTATTGATATTAGCAATGATGACAAATATTACTTGTACATAACAATGATGACACAATGACACAATGTATTGGAAAGGGCATATCATACCAACAAAGAACAAATGTGTACTTTTGAGTTAGACAGATAAACAAGGACATGTTTGTTTATTTGTTTGAGTAAAAAGAGCACACACATGATTTAAAAAATGTTTGCTCTTAGGACAATGTAATTTCTAGTACATCAGTCAGTCTTGTACGGCTGCATGACGACACTCCAAAGGTCATCACTAAGCACAAAAGCTAAATCTATAACCACAGAAATGACCCATCTCTCGAAGTTTGTTCACACATCACACTCTTGTTCCAGGAATCCAATGTAAACACCGCAATTTCACTAAAATATTCGATAGGGTAGCCTAAAAACACTCAAAACAGTCCAGTATGTCACATTCAACGTAACATTCTTGTGCGTCACATTCAACGTAAGATTCTTGTGCGTCACCGGACGCTGACGGCAATGACTACTTTCATTTTTCTCTTTCCCCCGTTGCCTCCGCTGTTCTGGGGAAGCGAGTAAGGGGAAGTCACTCAAGAAAATAATGATATCCGGGCACTGTTGATGATCCGCTCAAAACAAAAGTAGGCTAAAATTCGGACTTCCGGTACATCGCAAAGTGACGCCAATCACGGCGAATGTTAGACAGCCAACCGAAATCGTAGATTTAGGAACCTGATGTTCCTTTCACGTATCGCGGCTTTTGAAGTATTAAATAAACGACGAAAAGCAAAAAGATTTAACCAGCTACAGTGATTCTACTGAAAAGTAATGGTGTTTTCTGAAGCACCTAGTCCGTGACGACACGACTGACGCACAAGTGATCCGAATTGCTCGTTTATTTACAAACAAATTAACCGATTTCTTTAGCAAGTGAACCCTTCTCGATGACAAATAGCATAGGATCAAAGCGCACGTGAAAAAACCCCACCAAAAAATACTTAATTTTGGACATTCTTGGAAGTTTGCATTGGTGTGACAGTCCAGGAATCTCTAAAAAAAGAACGAACATTTTTGTCCAAAAATTTACAAACTCAAGATTGTAAAGCTGACATGGGGTTTGAAACTGCTAATGCAGGTTCTACGTCCTATATTTTACATGTGTATAAGTTTTGGGGGAATAAATACTAATTATGCATCACATTTTATGCACACTAATGTGAGATGTGTGTGTTTTTCCCCACGTTTTGGCAATGGCTCATGTATAATAACAATATAATTCTTCTGATTTCAGCGGACACGCCCTTTGGACAAGTAAAACTAGGTGATCTGGGTGCATGGATCGGCAGGCGCAACAAGGGGGTTGATTCTATCTGGGGCTCAATCCACAGAGGTAAGTGAATCTAAAATACCCTGCATTGGTCATTGTATGACATGGAAAATTTGAGTGTTTTATGAAATGGAGAGAAGAGCAAGTAAGTTCACTAGATTCTGTTTCACATGATAGGATTTGATTTAAATGTCAGTTTTGTCCCTGTTTTATTCTATGCATTGCAACTTCCCTTATAACGGAAAAAATTCCAGCAGATCTGATTTAAAGATGTGAAAATTAATTTCAGGCTGTTACCTCCCAGTAGATTCTCACCTTTTTCCCCCCTTTCACAGTAGCATAGTGTTGTCAATGCATGCAACCTAATAAGCTTTCTTTTCTTTTCTTTTTTTTTTCTCCTTTGTTTTTTCTTCTTAGATTGAGTAAATAGTTACTACCTTTCTTGAACTTTTCTTTGTAGTCGAGTCATCCATTTGAGATTTTTTTTTTTTTTTCATTATCCAAAAGTTGTCAGCTGTGCATCCAAAAGTTGTCAGCTGTGCATGTACAGTCGAACCTGCCATGACGGCCACCTGTACTAACGGGCACTTTCCATTTCCTCCCTTCTGTTTTTTCTATATAATTTAAATGTGTAAAACAGTCACCTGTCCAATGCGGCTGCGGCCACCATATTTTCTCAACCCAAAGTCAAATGTAGCTGCCTCAGACAGCCAGGCGTGATCACCCTTCGCCAAACGCTTTGTCAATTTGAATTGACACCTGACGCTGTGAACGGGCTGTCATAATCCATTCACCTGTAGTTATTGTTAGTCCTTCCAATGAATGTTTACCCAAGTTGACCAATAAGTAACAATAAATTTTCAACTGCTGGTGAAGGAAGCGTGTGATTCGTCATAACCTATAAACCCCGCCCACAACTCATACACAAATTGTATGTGAGGTGATTTGTCTCTGTTTTGTTTACCTAATCTGTAACAAAGTAACAATAGACATTGACCTGAACTAGCGACAGAAGCGTCGCTCGTTCTCCGAGTGGTGGCGACCCAGTGCTTGTTATACCATAGCACTCGGTCTTCATCGTCTCACATATTTTGTTAATTTTACCCTTGCACAAGATCTGCAACGGAAAAAAGACAACCAAGAAAACTCTTCTTTTACCACCCTTTTCAAAAGAAAACAAAACTTCTTTTGAATTGGCCTTACAACAGTCCAAAGCCTAAGATCAGCCCCGTTTGGACCTCTCAGGAGAATAATTTGCTTTTTTCATTTGGTCAGTCCTGTCTAGACGGCCACTTTTCTCCTTGACAATAGGTGATCGTTTTACACAGTTTTGACTGTAATAATAATGACGAAAAGTAGATTCCTGAAGGCTCATGTTCTTGTCAGTTTTGCTAACGACTTTATGTGTTCTCTTTTGATTTGCACTCAGCTCAACAAGAAATCTGCTTGTAGAGAAGTACGTGTTATCAGGGTTGGTCCCCCTTCTATGGTCTTCATTGTGCTGTATTGTTCAATTTATATTGCTCCTTGATTTTACCTAGTTGGTTAATTTGATTCGCTGTAAAGTGAGTCTCTTGGTATCCTGAAATAGTTTGCCATAATGACTAAATTCACTTTACATTTTTTTCCCAATCAAGCTGACACCCCCCCCCCCCCCCTTTAATAAGTATCTTTCACTTCAGTTAGTTGAAATTTTCTGTGAAAGTGAAATGTAACTATTGAGAAAGATGAAGTTTTTATTTTTCAGATTTATGATTGATGGAAAATTTTAGTGATAATTGATTCAGTCTCCTGTGTTGTTTTTGTCACCAGGTTACTGGAGGTGGGCATCCAAAAATCTTCACGTCAGGACAACTGGTTTCGTCCCATTTGGCCAAGCATGCATGGCTTTATCTGCTTTCTACTTTGTCCTTATGTACGGTGAAAGAAGTAAGTCATGGTTGGGTAACAAGTTGAAGTTTGTGTGATCTAATGTGTGAATCTATTCTCTTAGATTTAGTTTTAGTAGGAATTTTACAGTGCTTGCAACACAAATAGTTCATATAAGTGTCGGATATAAAAAGTGATGCTTGAGAGTAACATACAAAGAAAAGGAGAGATAAGGACGATAGATGTTTGATAAGAAAGATAGAGCAAATCACGCCAGAGCATCTGCCAACTACCCACAATTTATTCTGTGCTGTATGAATTAGGCCCACTAATCATAATATAGGTATAGCAAAAGATCATGGATTGCTCTTACTCATAAAAGTTATGTCGTCTGGTTACAGTTGGTCATAGTTCACGTAACATATTTTGCACTGATGTAGTAATATTGCTTGCTATTAATGCAGATGCTTTTCAACAAGTTTGTAAAATGATGACAATTAAGTAGTTGTGAGTGTTGACTCAAGTTTTCAAATGATATATTCTATCTGATTTTGAAGAGACAAAAATGTTAATGATTGTCAAAATCTTTTTTTGAAAGCGATTAAGCTTTATGTCTATGTGTTTAGCAGTTATTTTTGTTCCAATTTAATAAGATTCTGTGTGATTTCCATTTGACGGAAAAGACCATCAATAGTACCATAGTACCATGAACGATTTGCCTATCTTTAATCTAGTCCTGAAAAAATGGAATAAGGGTTGGGCTTCAAAACTTGTCACAATGATGTTCGGGATCAGGTTTCGGTGAGTTACAGTGGAAACCATATATAACAGGCCCGGAAATAACAGGGATTCGGTAATAACAGGGATGTTTAAAATCCCCGTTTTTTCCTACTCTTTGTCTCTATTAAAAGTTATCGGCAATAACAGGGCCTCATCGGAGCCCAACCGGTTATAGCAGGGACAAAGGCTCGTTAACAATGTGTAAAAAGTAAGAGAGAGAGAGAGAGAGAGAGAGGACGACCGGTCAGACTAGATCAAAGCCTACTTCTTTCATTATGGTCACCAACGATGTCAAGCGCAAGAGAAAATGCCTTTCAATTGACAAAAAATACGAAATAATCCAGACTGTTGACAAAAAGCAAGCTCTACTCTACTGGCAGAGATTTGTCGTCCGTTCGACATTCCACAAGGGTCGATTCCCACCATTATCAAGGATAGAGAGAAGATAGTGGCAGCATACTCAAATGAAAAGTTTGCTCTGGATCGAAAGAAGATGAGACTACCCTCTGTAGATGCTCTGGACCAAGCTCTTCTGATGTGGTTTTAACTTTAAGGACGCAAGGAGAAAGTTGGTGCCAAAACCCATGTTCGTGGGTATTTGTGGCTAGGGAAACTACCCATGAATAAGTACAGCTAGATTAGTCCACAAATGCTCACTTTCCTTGCATTTCGGATTTAACAGGGATCGGATATAACAGGACTTTTTCTCTACTCCCACCATCCCTGTTATATCAGGTTTCCACTGTAGTTTGTGTTGTGTTTTTTGGTTCATCCTGTGGCTTGATTCATACTTTTTCCTTCTGCTGTTCTTTGACTCCTCTTGTTTCATCTTCCCACTCATCATTCCTCTCTTCAAAATTCTGGCCCCACCTCCTCCCCTCCACCTCTTTCTTCTTTCTCAGTCTAATTAGTCATGATTGTTAAGAATGAATTGTACCCTTGAGGTTATTGATAAATTCATGTCTTTTGGCAAAACTCGCTAAAACCAGTTCTTTATTTTCCTCCACAGAGTATCACAGGCACTGCAAGTACCACTGAGGATTAGTATAGATTATGTATGCAGCTTGTGATTAGTGACAGTATCTGGAAGAAGGAAGAACAGAAGTGTGTATTTTATAGTTCAAACTTCACTGAACTCTCATGCCACAACTTTTGTCTTGTGGTGTTGTTTGAGTAATAAAAAGAAAACTTTGATGTTAATGTATTTCTATTGGTTGTTTGTGTATATTTGTGTGTGGGTTTTTTTCTATGTCTCTTTGTTTTGCTAGGTTAGTGGTCAACGTTAAGTATGTTGTGGTTGGATGATGCTACTTCTTTTGGCGGGTGGTAAGTGGGGGCTCTGGTGTGGTTTGCTCCTTCTTTGTCTTTCCTATGAAACCTCTATCGTCCTGTTCTCTCTCCTCCTTTTTATGTGTGTTTGTTACTCTCTTGTTACATCTCTAATCTTCGGCACTTATATGACCTAATTTTGTTGCAAGTGTCTTTTAAAAGCTTAATAAAACTAAACTGTTATTATAGTGCAGTAAAAAATTTGTTGCGCAACTCTTTGTCGAATATATCCCTAACTATGAACATAGTCTCTCCAGCTTTTGCACAATGACTTGTATCAATTTGTCTAACGAAGATCGGTATTTTTGTAAACACCTATTGTTTGCTGAATTCTAGAAAATTCCTTAAATACTAATTAAAAATCCTAGTAGTTGTTGTTTCTGCGTTTTAAAAATGTTTACAGCTGGGACAATATAGCTTTTAAAAGCAAGTCCATCAGTTTTGTTCTAATAGCGACATTATGCTTATTAAAGGCATGTTTTGAGAACCTTTAGTAAAAAAAAAAGTGTTCTCTATAAAATTAATTTCTTGTAACAAGTTTTGCCATTAAACAGTGTTGTTGGTGAGCTGTGACGCAGGCCATGTGTGTGAGAAGCGGGAAGTGCTATGAACAATCCCATGTTTTGCGTAACGGAGATTTGTAGTATTTTATATAAGTTTATGAAGAAAGGCTTTTTTAAATCTAGCTTCAATTGTTGTGTAAAAATATGATTAACCCTCTCCGTACATTGTGTTTTCCTATCGTATCCATACGACGTGGTGAACTCTGTGCCACCACTTTCCGAAGGGGAAATTTACTCGTTAATCCAATCAGTACGCTTTGCATAGCAGTCTGTCAAAATGATTTTTTTGAGAAATACTGAAAGTTTCAAAGAGATCTTCGTACTAGAAGTATTCTAAAATGTGAAGAATACAACCCTGGGGGTACAAAATGAACCCAGGAAGTATGGATAGGGTTTAAGTTAAAACTAATCGATACAGACTGCTGTGCAAAGTAGATCTATGGGTGACATTGATCTACCTGTTAAAGAGATATTTGAGGAAAAGTTGCGCAACGAATTTTTGACCGCACTATAAAATTAAAAACTTTTTTTCTGTCCCTTTGTTATTTTTTTGTCTGTCTGTCTGCCTTTTTTTTCACTAGATGGCAGTTTCGGGGGTCAGTGTGTCTCTTTACTCAAACCAAAAGTGTGATGTAACTTACATTTCTGAGAATCTTCACTGGCTTTGACCTGAATCAGCATAAGGATGCAGTAGCATGCAGGAGGAAACCACTGGTTGGTCTTACTTTTCTTCGCTTTCTGTGACATGTTTCTGTCTGTCTGTCTCACTTTTGCTCTGAGCTCAATGACCGCTATTTTTCTCTTCACTCGAACAAACAAAAAAGAAACTGGTGCTTTGGTGTGGTTTGCTCCTTCTTTCCTATCAAACATCTATCACTACTATCAGTGGGCTCTGTTGGCCTAGAGCTTAAGGTGTTTGCCTCTCAATCAATAGGTCCCGGATTCGAATCCGGATAGCGACAGAAAATTTTCTCCTTTCACATCCTTTCCTGCTCTCTAACAATGTTCTGTCGTCGCTTTCGTCTCCACTTTCTGCCCCCATTCCCTCATCTCCTTTGCCCCCTCCTCTGGGCTCCTGACTCTTTTGCAGCCTTCCTTCTACTCCTATTCCTTGGCTCCTTACTGCTGTCTGTCAGCCACACCCCTGATTTTCTGGTAGGAAAGATCTGCACCTAGCCGTCTCGTACAAGGGCGAAAAATCTCGGAGGTCCCGTGTGCAAGCTGTGCACGTTAAAGTTAGTAAAGATAGAGATGGGCAATGCGTCGCTTTAGCAAAATCCAGAAAATATGTTGTTGCAGTTCTTCAGCAAATAATTTGATAGAACCGCTTCTGCAAATGGGTTAGAACCACTTCGACAAACGGGTTAGCATCACCTCAACAAATGAGTACACCCACTTCGGCAAGCAGGTCAGGAAAGTGAGTTGAGAGTCTGAATTCGTACAATGTTTCATTGCTAATGATCCGGTTATACGGATAGACTATCCGGATTTTGCCCTCCTCTAGTTAAAGATCCCTTGGTGGTTCAAAATCGATAAGAGTAGGCTTCGGCCGCCACCCATGCAAAATTCAAAATTTCCTATAGATCTACTGAAAAAGTTAAATGTGTCCCGCGCGCTCATATGACCTTATTATGCAGTTGCGAGCGCCGTAAAACACCAAAAAAAACCCCCAAAAATATATATCATTCTGATCTCTCCTTTTTAAAATGTTTGTCACTCTCTTGTAACGTAACGCCTCTAATCTTCGGCACTTGAATGCCCTTATTGTGTTGCAAGTGCTGTAAAACAATTAAACAAATAAACTAAACACAAAAAGCATTGAGGGATGTGCTGGTAATCGAGCTGTGATAAAGATATAGGCCTACAACAGGCCAAATAAACTGTTTGTCAACGAAAATGTGGCTCAAGACAATGGAAAGATGTTCATGGAGGGATTGTTGTGGAAGCCGAACTGGACTTGACAACGAATGATAAGCTGTCCCCGTGGTTTTTCTTTTATGTACCCCGCATAATTTAACAAATTTTGGTCGTTTTTTTTGCATAATTTCTGATAATTTTGCTTTATCATTCTTTCAATTAACAGAATCGCTTATTTTCACATTTTTGCGCCCAGTTTGCATAATTTCATAATTTTTCTTGCATAAAACGACGGGGCCATAAAGGAGTACAGGCCGCTGAGTATTTTTGGTCATATAGTGTAGTAATCGGAAGGCTACATTGTATTCAGGGTGCATGTACTTGCAAAGTATTCAGCTTGTGTAGTTGCTCTTATTTTACACTCCCTTCGACCCAATTTAGATCGTTTATGAGCCAGGTTGCTTCAACCCTGCCTGTCACTACTGTCAGAGCTATACTAACCTGTGCTGAGACAGGACATTGTCCCAGGTAAAAGACATTGTGTATAAAATTAAGTTTGCGAAACTTCTCCCCACATGGTATCTGGCTCATAAAGATAATTTGTAGATCGAGATCTATGCAACAGGAGGGCCTTTCTCTTGTGGTTTTTGTAGTTGTGTCTTTACACCCCCACTGACACTATTTTGATCATTCAGGAAGTGAGCTTCTGACCCTGCCTGTCAGGGCCAAACCGTGCTTAGAGGATTGCAACATCCCAGTAGAACGGCCGACATTAATCCTCGATAAAAATTATTGTTTCCACACTTGGGAATGGAACTCGGACCTCCTGCGAGCTACACCACAGACGCTGCTATCACTGAATTTGACAAGACTTATGTCACTTTCTGCCCCCCCCCCCCCCCCCTTTTCTGCCCTCTCCACTGGGCTCCTGACTCTTTCTGCAGCCTTCATACTGCTACGCCTTGGCTCCCTCTTACTGCTGTCTTTCAACCACACCCTTTACCTTACTAATTCCTAGGGTCATCTTTGCCGTTCTCACCCTGGATCAGGGTATAAGCTACGAACAAACACTTTCCACCTTTCCCTATCCTGGGCTAACCTCTTGATGTTATTCCATCTAGGGTATAGGTAAGATTTAACACCTAGCCTTCTCGGATAAGGGGCGAAAAAAATATCGGGAGGTCCCGTGTGCAAGTTGCGCACGTTAAAGATCATTTGATCGTCCTAAAATCGATTAGAATAGTCCTCGGCCGTCACCGTGCAAAATAAAATTTAAAAAATCCTGCCCAACTGAAAATGCTTATTAAATTAATTAATGTGCCCAGTGCCCTCACATGACCTTATGCAGTTGTGAGCGGCGTAAAACACCTACAATTTTTAAAAAGACTTAGATCTATGTCAAGCAACTTCTTATACTAAAAAGTGATGTTGGTATACTTCTGTGCAGAATGTTACTACATAGTACATGATATGTACATGCACAAGTATTCCCAAAATCTAAGGCTGGTAGAAACTGGCCCAGTTGTTTCCCCTTGACCATGAATAACTGTACCGCGGTAATAATAGAATAGGAAAGCAAACACTCGATCGGTAGGATCCTAGATAATAATTATGGCTTGTCGATGTGTTTATTTGTGAGCATGGTGTGTTTGTGACGACAACGGTATCAGAAGACCTAGTTACTATAGGTCTTCTGATATCGTTGTAGGTACTGTGTACTACCAGTAGTACAACTTTCTGGGTGTCGAAAGCAATCCATTAAGTCCATAATTTGGATACTTTTTACACAAGACAGAGACAAACTATAGATTTTATTATGTTGCTCCTATATCAGGATCATGAAAAGCAAGAAAACTGTAAGACTCGTCCATAGCATTTAACTGCATTTTGATGACTTTGAAAAATACATTTTTGATAGTTTTGGGAGGGTGTAAAAATCGAAAATTCTCAAAATTTGGACCTGTAGTGGATTGATTGTATCGTTGACGAAATGTAGGCCCTACTAGCACAATACACTCATACACGTAGTAAAAATACAGTCAAAACTAAGACGGCCACCCATTGTCGAGGAGAAAAGTGACCGTCATTTACAGGTGGCCATCTTACACAGTGTTATTGTAATATTAAAGAAAAAAGATACTCAAGGCAGAAAATAGGATGTGGCCGTTTGTACATACATGCGGTACATGTGATTGTTTTTTAAACAGGTGACCGTTCGAGCAGGTTTGACTGTATTATTAGTATTAGTAGTAGTTGCACCGGTAGTACGCCTAGAACATGTAGCTAGTAGTAGTAGTGTAAGCCTACTACAACAACAACTATTTCTAGTACATGTGTACATGTACTAGTAGTGACAGTCGTAGGCCTACACATTAGAAGAAGTAATAGTACTATTAGTAGTAGCAGTCCAGTAGCATTAGCAGTGGCGGTTCGTGGTTTATAGAACTGACCGGCT